CACCAGGCCTACCCTTCCCCTGCATGGCCTTGCTTTCTTCCCTCCCAATCACTCTTACCCTTCCCCAGACTCTACATCCTCAAACTCTTTCCTTTTTTAATGTTTATTTATTTATTACATGAGAGAGAGAGACAGGTGGACAAGCAACAGGGTCTCATACTACAATCTAGCCGCCCACCACCCAACTGAGGCAACAGGATCATGGGCCTGTCACACCCTACATGTATAAAGTGACCTAGGAACTGAGCCCGTTTTCCACATGGCTTCCAGCATTGCAGAACAATGTTACCTCTGTGATGGGCCTCAGACTTTTCTGTTTCCTTCACCTTCCTGCCCTAATAACAGCCTGAGGAAGCTGCTTCCTACTTCAGAAGCAGAGGAAGCTTTTCCTCCATCATCCCCCCATTCTCAGAGCTTCTTTCTTTCTAGTGACCACTTCCCACTTCTCTGCCTTCCTCCCTCAACACTGCCAGTTGTCATCAAACTAAACTACCTACTGCACTTCCCTCCTGCTGTTACCCTCCAACCTTCTGGCCCCTCTCTTTCATTTATTGATGACAAGAGCACCTGCTTTGTTGCCTTCAGGTCCCCCCACACACACGCACACCAATCCCTGCAATTTTGCAAACATTCCTGATACCTTCAATCCCTGATGGGCCAGGCAGCACCCAGTCTCACACTGTCCCTGAACTTTCATCCCCATCCTACCTCAGCCATCTGCTCCTACTATACATCTGCACCAAAAATGAAATAGCTATGAAATCATGGTTTTTATCATCCCACTCTCACATTAGTATCCTACACCAACTGTCAACCTACTCAAAACTTCTAATCTATCTATGGTGACTACTTATTTAACTTGCCTTTGTCCCCCTATCCATCCTTGCCCAACTTCGATATTCTGGTCTTAGACTTCCTCCCTCATACACGTACTTGACTCCATTGCTTCTTCCAGCATGCTCACCTGTTGAAAACCATCCATGAGGAAGCATGATGGTCCCCTTTTTCCATGCCTAGCTTCCCTACCACAGGAAAGTGACCAATAAAACTCGGGGCTTTAACAAGCAAAACAAAACAATCCAAGAAGAATTAATTGGTGGAATTATACAATGGTGCAACTACTATGGGAAACATATAGAGATTTCTCAAAAAATCTGAGAAAGAACTGCCTATGATCTGCCAATCTTGCTTCTCTTTCTCTTTATATATATATATATATATTTTTATTTAACTTCGTTTATTTTAATTTGACTACATAGGGACAGAGTGAGAGAGAGAAAGAGCGAGTTGCCAGGTTCGGGACTCAAACTGCGGTCAGTCATGCAGATGTGGGAGTCCAGCGTCCCTAATGACCACACCACCTGCCAGCCCCACTTCTGTTTTTATTTCTAAAAGCACTGAAAGCAGTGTCTCAAAGAAATATTCACACACTCATATTCACAACAGCATTATTTATAACACACAAGAGGTAGAAGCAATCTATGTGTTTATCAATAAATGAATAGATAAATAAATGTGAGGTATACATACATTAGAGCACTAACTAACCTTTTTAAAAAGGGAAATCCTATCACGTACTACAATATCGATGACTGTTGAGAACATTATGCTAAGTAAAATAAGCCAGTCACAAAAAGACAATATTATATGATTCCATTTATGTGAGGGTATCTGAAATAGTCGAACTCATAAAATCAAAAGTAGAATGGTGGGAGGAGAGAAGGACATGGAGAGTTGTTGTTTATTGGGTATCAAGTTTCAGTTTTTCAAGAAGAAAAAGCTCTATGATAATGTGAATATATTTACTGAGATATACTTCTGAAAACACTTAAGAAAACTTTTAAGTATTTTTATTCAACATTTTTTAAGTGCAAATTTAAAAAATGAAAACCTATTAAGATTATACTCTGTGGTAGTACTGAAGCCATCATCTCACTTCCTCTGAGCATCAAATACCCCACCAGGCCTACGCTCCAGATACACACTCATCAGGTGGCAAGGTTGGGAGGTTTCTATTCTCTTTGCACAGGCAATCAAAGCTTAAGATTTATTCTGAGGTTTGGGGTTCAATTCAGAAAAACAAGAGAAATTAACCAAGGGCCAAGTAAATATTTCCTCATCCTATCTAATGTTACTTTCTAGCAATTAACTGAAAACCACTGGGTTTTCTAGCTATGTCCCCTCATAACTCATTTACTAATATGCTTACTAATATGCAAATATTAACTTCCCAGCTGGGAGTAATTTCATGAATTTTTAACTTATATGGGTAAATCAAAGATTAAAACTTTAAAGCCAACAATGTAGATGACTGTGAATATTATTTTAACCCCTAGATTAAAAATCTCCAAGTAAATTTATCAGCATCATTACATAAACAGTCATGTGGGAATTATCAAAGAACTCTGCCTTTTGGGTACTAATGTATACTTTTTAATGTTTTTGATATCACTAAGCACAGTGAAACTAAAGACATTTCTTGACATCAGTCTTGATCTTGGGAAACCTCCAGGTCACCTGGCCCATGTTCACAGAGATCCCAACACTACTGAAAAGCTACAACAGTTCATGGCTTTGTAACAAATATGGACAAAACTCATTTTAGTAGAAAAGAAATCAGATTTAAGAAAATTAGAAGAAAGAAACTGAAAAACTCTGAACTGAATTCCTTCTGGAATTGCAAGTCAAATTCTGGATTATTAACTCTAACATAAGAAAAGAAAAAGAAAAAAAAAAAACAGAGGGAAGAACTTTCTCCTTAGAGGGCACTGCCTGATAGCAATATTAATATAGTGCAAGTCACATATGTCATTTTAAATTTCTAGAATCCATTTTTAAAAGTAAACAGAAACAAGGAGAATGAATTTTAATAGTTTAACTCAATAGTTTACCCAAAATATTCTGATATCAACATGTCATCAGTAGTCTAGAAAGTAATCAAACTTTCACCTTTTTTTTCTTACCAAGTCTATGGAATCTGGTGAGTATTTTATGCCTATGACACATCTAAGTTTGGACAAGACACATATAAAGCACTAGAATATTGCATTAGTGGCAACCACGTTGGCTAGTACAGCTACAGAACCAAAGATTATGAGTTCAGACAAGACAGTGACTGGCTCTTGGAATCTGAGTACATTTCTCTAGATTGTTCTCCCTGAATTCTGAAATGCCTATAACAGCTTGTGTGGATGGATCCCCTTCTCCTTCAGTTGTATCAGTGTTAACTTAGAGCACCATGGCTCCATCATTTGAAATGCTACAAAACCAATTTATTAGTATTATTTATCTGCAAGTTAACTCATTTTTAAAATTAGCTTTATCCTAAACAATATCATCTGTGATATTACAGACTTGATACTTTGATTGTGTTTGTTGAAAGGGTTCATACACTTTAAAATAAATATTTAACACTTAAAGGAAGTTTGTATGTACTACCCAAAGCCTATAGTGACCTGAATTAAATTTGTTCTCACTAGCTAATCAGTAATGGTGTCATCTTTCAAAAGTTTTCCATTCAGCACATTCAGACTCAGATACGTGACCATCTGAATCTCCTGACCCCAGAGAAATATCTCACATTCATATACTTCCATATGGCCTAACCCCATTCCAGAGTAACTTATGTCTGAGTACCACCACGAACCATAGCAAGGGGGCATTTTACTCATTTGTGTTCAACCATCCAAAAGCTGTAGAGGCAAGGTAAAACTCTTGCCTCAATACATATATTCACAATACATACACACACATGAATGTACTCGCATGTGAGTTAATGTACGTGTGTGTGTGTGTGTGTGTGTATTTATCACACAATAATCTCACAAAGGAAGAATTGTTGTTTTCCTATTTTTCCAGGTAAGGAAATGAGACATACAACAGTCACAGAGCTAGCAAGGATGGTCTTCAATCAGATTCCTGTACTCCTATCACCTTGGGGGTAACAAATGGTATAAAAAGATGGAAGTTGAAAAAGACAAGTTTTATGGCCCCAAGCACAAATCCCTCAAAGGTAAAAATCTTCACCCAAAGCATGTAGAGACAGGCAAGCAACATCCTCCAATACAGAGAGAGATGAAAAGCAAGTAGAATAATTTAGAATGCCCTCAAGATGCCTCTGTAAATTGCATGATGGACTCATCTTACTTGGAGGGAAAGCAGAGAAACGCATAAAAATCCAAGAGAATGAAGTGTCCAATAACAGAAAGAGAGAGAGATTCCTGGTGGATGGGAAGTGGGCAGATGAATGGACAAGCATATATTCATTCTAGACTCAAGAACAGAGAACAGACAGAATTATAATGGTACATCCCATCTCTCTAATAATCTCACAAAGGAAGAATTGTTGTTTTCCTATTTTTCCAGGTAAGGAAATGAGACATACAACAGTCACAGAGCTAGCAAGGATGGTCTTCAATCAGATTCCTGTACTCCTATCACCTTGGGGGTAACAAATGGTATAAAAAGATGGAAGTTGAAAAAGACAAGTTTTATGGCCCCAAGCACAAATCCCTCAAAGGTAAAAATCTTCACCCAAAGCATGTAGAGACAGGCAAGCAACATCCTCCAATACAGAGAGAGATGAAAAGCAAGTAGAATAATTTAGAATGCCCTCAAGATGCCTCTGTAAATTGCATGATGGACTCATCTTACTTGGAGGGAAAGCAGAGAAACGCATAAAAATCCAAGAGAATGAAGTGTCCAATAACAGAAAGAGAGAGAGATTCCTGGTGGATGGGAAGTGGGCAGATGAATGGACAAGCATATATTCATTCTAGACTCAAGAACAGAGAACAGACAGAATTATAATGGTACATCCCATCTCTCTGACCGCCCCAGAAGGGGCCTATCACATGGCAGACTTTGCACCAGCCACTCTCAGAAGCAACCTGGGAGTTTATTCTCATCCCTGAGATTACTACAGAGGGAGCTATGCTGAGGGCTTAATTATGTGGCCTTCATTTTCAGGGTTCTGCAGTCTGAAAAAGGAATCCACTTACATGTACTCCCTATGGGCCGAGTGCACAGCAGCTGCATTGCTGTAACGCCACAGGACGATGGCCGACGACAGGACATCAAGAATGGCATCAAACTAGGATAAAGAGACATGGGGTTAGTGGTTTTCCAGGGGTAATAGGGCATGACTGTGAAATGTGGAATACCTAAACAAGTGATCTCAAAGAAGCTTCCTGTTACTACTCCCATGACCCCCACAGTGGAGCCCAAAATGCTGGCCTGGTGGCAGCACCTGGTCCCTCTGTACACCTTGTGTTGCTCCCCTGCTCCCATGGCCTGAGAAGTCACAGGCTTCTAGAATCCCTAACTTCCAGCACCCTGGAGATCTGGGGCAGGAGCTAGGGGCCCGTTGTTTTGAAACACATGGAATCAGTTTCCCCACGGCAGGCAAGCTCATTGCAGCATTTTCCTGCACATCCCAAGGAAAAGGCCCAATGAGGATTGTGTGTTTCTGGCTCTCAACAGGACTGTTCCACCGGGGGCATGCAAAGCAGTGGTCACCTAAGGGCTCTAGGAAGTCTGCATACACTTTGAAGTTGTATACAGAATTCAATGCTTTTAGTTGTATGAAAAAGAGTGTGTACAAGAGACAATGGACATGTGTGTGTTTTCTGCATATGTGTGCATTTTTCTGGAGAGTCTGTGTCTTTCCTAAGGTTCTGAAAAGAATCTGCTATATACCACCACACAACCCCCACATAGAAAATGTTCACATCAAAGAGCAGAAGTGGGTTTGGGAAGAGGCACATGTGCCCTCAGGGGCAGGAAACGCTACAGGAGCTCTCTGAGTCCCGGTTCCCCACCACACTTCTCATCTGGAGGACAAGTTGTCTGTAAGGGGCCCAAGCAGTCACTAAATTGTTGACACTGGATTTTCAACAAAATCCTCCCTTGATTTTGCTCCTGTTGAGCAAACCTGGCTTTCTCTAACCAGCTTCCATCAGGAGCCCACCTCTAAGTGGGCTCCAGACTTATCCTAGCATGCGCAGCCCGATCCTAACTCCCAGTGCCTCTGTCTACACCAGCAAATACTTCACTCCAGCATGGTACCTACAGTCTGGAAGGGAAAAGGGCCTAAAATTCCTAAACCATTATCTCCATCAGTTGTGGAAAATGTGATTTCCCCCTCCCATCTGTGCACGAAAATTACAGTCTCATTGTATTATAGTTTAATTCTATAAAACTGTCATTTTCTCACTGAAACTGTGTTCATAAAAGGTATGTTCCTTACGCCAGGCTCTCGTGCACTAACCCCCTTTGGATTGCAGGGCTTGAAGAGCTTTGTGGACTCAGGGGAAAACATGCACATTTCTTGGAAGCATATTTCAGGCTACTTACTGCAAACCCAAAAGCGGAGGCGCTGTACCTCATAACGGAGACAGCTAAAAAGAAAGAAAATGTTATTCAGAATGCTTACAATCTCACGGACACTTTTCCTCGTTTGTGAGTATATTCATACACTGGCGTGATCTTTTTAACATCAGTGGAAAAGTTTCAAGAGAAAAAAATTTAAAACGAACTATACTTGCAAAATCTAAGAATTAAAATAAGTAAAGCATAAACTAAAAAGATTCCCAAACTTCACCTATTAACAACTGCCCTTCCCAGGGTGTTTGGGAGCACCTAAGGACTAGCTTCAGAATAAAAAAACAAAAAAAAAAAAAAATGACTTCTGAGACTTTGAGAATTTAGCACTGTGAGCAGAGAGCCAGATACTATACCAAACGGTCAATGTGGAACTGCTCCCGTAACATGATAGCCAGGGGTGCTAGTTAATGCACACACCATTACTAACAGCTGAAAACAATCTCGTGTCCACCAGAGTTGAAAATCCAGCGTAGACACCCATATGACTGTTTAGAAAAACAATTATCAGATGGTCTTAGGTGAAACCATAGATGTCTATAAAACTACTAGCTATAAAGAAAACTCATTGTATCCATTTTAAAATGGGGAGAAGACAAGTCAATTGAGTATTCCTTTGCCTAAGTTTGCTCTATGCCAAAGTAATGTCCAGCTTCAAAGACTGCTCTCAGGTTGAGCTAATAAGGCAGATCTACAGAGGAAAGCTATGTTTAACAGGCAGATATCTGCCCTCCAATGAAGACTGAACCCCTGCTCTGAGGGTCAGCAAAGCTTTGAAGCATCTTGCTCCCAGCCCGAATAATAGAGGTGCTCACTCCTGGAGTAAAAGTCCAGGCGGGAGGTACAGAAGCCCAGGTGGACGCCTGTTCAGCCCACCGTGATGTCCCTTCTACAGGCCAGCTTCCATCCTGCCTATGCTGAACAGGCCCTGGGCAACCAGTACTGCGCCCCTCATCCCAGCCACAAGAAGGTCACCTGACCCAATACAAACAACACAGTTCCTTTTCTGTGATCAAGAAATTGAGACTGAGAGTCTAGTTTGTCAATTTATGTGGTTAGAACTGAAACCTGCAAACACTGAGGCTGGCGTCAGCCAAGGTTTGCCAGGGAGACTGTGGAGTTGAAAGACAGGCACAGCCACACATGGCACTGTGGGGAAGGGAAATCACTGGCTTCGCAAGGTTGCCAAGCCCTCCCTGAGACTCAGCCCTGTCCCAGTCCTCAGGCTGTATGAGGAGAACATGACCCATTAAATCTCTGACTGTTTTTGTTTCTAATGTGAGCTGCTCCAGTGCCCGTTTTTGCTCTTACTGGCACAGGGAGAACAGCTATGCACAACGACTGGCTGTAGTTTTCATGGGCAATGCAGGTATGCTGGTATAAAGGGACACCGAACCTTCCCAAAAGAACATCAGCTCATGGGCCACGATGGCACACGAGAGCAGCTGACCCACGGGGCTGCCCTGAGCACTGATTAAATAGATGCCCTATTAAATGCCAAGCCTGCCTCACAGTAACTGTTAGCTAAGCATACAATTTTACAGAAGTGACTGGCTTCTTTCCCCCTTTTCAACCTGCATTTAGCTGTGTGCATTTTGTGGGTTACTTCTTTATCAGCAGTGTAAACCATTTAAATCCTCCTAATATCACCTATTACAGATAAAAGAAGCACTGTCTAGCGCTCCCTCTGTGTCTCCACCTGCACTCTCCAGCCTGGGCACCAGGACGAAGGCACAGCTGGAAAAGTACTCACTCGCCTCTACAAGCCTCCACAGAAGACCATCTGCTTTACGAGCAGTAAACCATTACTTTAAATGTCTCCATCTGAGTTTCTAAATTTTTTTGACAATCCAAGATATTTATATAGCGGGCTCCAGATTTTGAAGGGGTACAAAAATATTTTATTATTAATACACTGAGAAACACAAGGAACTTCATCTCAGGAATCTGGAATCAACAAAGGGGAAAGGTGCTCCATGAGGGGGCTTCCCTGGCTCAGCCAGAGTCCAAAGTCTATGCTTCCCAAACTCTTGGAAATTATACTGGAAAGTTCTGCTTGAGTGAATGAGTTAAACCCACCTAGTGCTGGATAATCTAGAGACAAGTAGAATATTAATATCGTTCCTCCTTCTGTGCACCAAGGAACATTCAAGCAAGAGGGGTCCCAGGTTAATTCAGAGTCCTTCACAGAGAAGTATAATTAACTTATAAATTGGTTCTCTCTCATTTGCTTGGCGAGAAAGAGAGGGACACGTGCCAAAAATTGCATGGGGAATTCAGAGTACACTGAAGGACCCTCCCTTCAGTCTTAGCTCTGGCAGCTTCCCTTTGTGGCCCGCTCCCCTGCTCTCACTGCTAAGTAACAGCACATAGTCATTAGCACAGGCCTGAGCAGAAGAGCTCACATGGCCTTTTAGAAATTTTTGAAGAGTGTCAAATGATAAGTTTCATTTTCTTTGGCCCATAACCCACCATGGCATCCTAATTCTGAAGAAGAACAACTTCAATGGAAAGGGCCAGCCTAGTTTTAGAAAGGCTCTGCTCCATAGAAAGACAGTGCAAACTGTGGGGTTGTCATCAAGTCACCCCTGCTTCCCTGACACTATGACTGAGTTCCGGTGGAGGACAGCAGGCCTGGGCCAGGATAAACACCCAAGGCAGGGGTTACCTGGTAGGACCACAGGGGCTCCATGCATAAGTGGCCGAGTATGGTCAAAGGCCACCATCTAGCATTGCCTCTAAGGCAGGGGCTACATTCAACAGTAGACAAGAGACAAGGGCCCTTTTGACCTCAGATGCTTACTCTACAAACTGGCAACATCTACAAAGAGATGGGCTCCCAGGCAGCATGTTTGTTTATGAGTGCTGCTGTCGGTCACAGCCAGGGCCATGGAGCTGAAGATAATGAAGGCACTCACGGTCAGCACACCAGGGCAGGCCCATTTAACAAACCCTGCAGATGCTCTGGAATGGAGTGGCTGACTGTCAGCAGCCTTCAGGTTCCTCTGGAGAGCACTGCTATGAGTTCTTTAGGGAAATTTTCCAGAATATCTCTGCTCCTCACATTAAGAACCTGTCTCCATTATCATAACTTAAACATGCACTGGGAAGCTGGTGGCTACCAACAGCTCCTGAGACGCACAATTTCCAGCTATCAGAGCTGCATGTGATTCTCCAGAGATATGGCCTGGGCCTCCTGCCTCTCACTGCCCTGTGGCAGAAGCAGAAATGCATTGCCATACCATCAGGCTGAACTTAAACATCCAAAAACACATGCTTACGATGCAACTAGCTCGTATCTCTT